GATAATTACATTTGGAAAGCAAATTTTAAATTTTGTATGTGTAAATTTAAACTCTAATTGAACAAATTTTTTATATGTTGTGTTTTTTTTTTTTTTTTTTTTTTTTATAATAAAGGATGTTGTGGCATTAATTGTAACATTAATTATTTCTCAAACTATATAGCTTTATTATATAAAGGACAATGTCCACCATGAGCACAATGGAGCCTAGTCCATAATAGTGCAATTATTATTGTGTGGACCATATTTTGTATATTATAAAATAATGTATATTTAGTACACAAATAATGCACTTTTAGTATATTAAAAATGTACTTTATTTTCAGAAAAGGTATATTATTTGAATACTAAATGTACATTATTTTATATAATGTATATTCAGTACACAAATAATGTATTTTTAGTACATTAAAAATGTACTTTATTTTATAGTTCATACAATATTATGTGCACCATGGTCCACACAATAATTTGCCATAATAGTGGAGCCTGGTCCATAATATAACATTTGCGTATAGTATATTGTTATTCCAATAATCCAATGTTGTCTTTTTAGGACAAACAAACCAAAACTTATGGAACACATATATGGCGCAAATTATGCCCTGGAAACGTGTTCACCGTGAATGGTGAACACAAGTCCAAATAACGTCGTTTTTAGGTAAAAAAAAAAAAAAAAAATCACGGATGTGGAGTTAACGGTGCGCGTTTGATCAAATTATGAATTTTCTGTTATGAGATTATAAATGTAATGAAAATTCATAATCTCATAACAGAAAATTCATAATCGCATAAAAGTAAAATATTTATTAAATTATGAATTTTCTATTATGAGATTATGAATTTTCTGTTATGAGATTATGAATGTAATAGATTCATAATCTCATAATAGAAAATTCATAATTTCATAACAGAAAATTCATAATCGATTGAGTAGCCAACCCCAGCAAGAAGAAAGGGGAGCGGAAAGACCGCTTTCCAACATCATCTTTCTCGCTTTCAAAGCAAAGAAAAGAGAAACGACTAATCTCATAACAGAAAATTCATAATCTCATAACAGAAAATTCATAATCTTATAACAGAAAATTCATAATCTCATGGTTCCAAAGTGAATGTGCAGGCATGGATTCATAATTTATGAATGTCCGTGATTTCGGACGGGAATGTGTAGGCATGGTTCCAAAGTGAATGTGCAGGCATGAATTCATAATTTATGAATGTCCGAAATCATTGCTCACCTCAAATTAAAGTGAAACCGCGAAATGTGAAAATGAAGAAGAAAAGTCACGCAATTAATTAAGAAAAAGAAAAAAAAAAAAAAAGATAACGGTGTACTAACACCGTTGGAACCGTGTTCCATGGCATAACGATTGCATATATGGAATACTAGTCTTTTCTATGCGCAATGCGCAAAAATATATGCTCAGCATATATATCTATTTTTTAAAATAATTAACAAATCCATACTAATTAAAATTTATTTGAAATCAAATTTATTTATTATAATAAGTCAATATATAATGTCTACGAATATTATTATTATTAAAGAAACAAGAAATATATGATGGATGCATGTGCATGGTAACAATAATGGAAAATATAACGGAAGTTATAACAGTAGGAGTATTATTTTTGTCCAAAAAATTATATAGTACAACTCTAAAAGCACAATGTACAAAATGATTAGCATTAAAAACATTGACATAAATGATAGATATAATTTTGATTGAGACTTATTATGTTTTATTTAGATGTGTCATGAACTTGCCCATAAGAGGAAACAAGGGGTAAAGGGTACACCAGTCGTTATATCGTTGACCGCGGTGCATAATTGATTATGTATCGCGCATCAAAACGACGCTGTTTCTTTAAATAAATAAACGACGCGCTGTTAGTGTTAACGGAGTGACACCACAGTGTATCTAAACCGACACTGCCTCACGTATTATTTTTATATTATTAAATGAAACTGCAGTTATATCAAAATGATACTGTAGTTGTGGTGAAATGAAACTGCAGTATATATAAAATGAAACTGAATAACATTTCACATATTTGAGTGTATATTGTACAATGAAGCTGTAATTATATAGAAATGATCATGTAGTTGTATTTTAATAAAACTATAGTATATATAAAATAAAATTAAATAACAGTTTCACATATTTGAGTGTATAAATATTGAATGAAACTGTAGTTATATCGAAATGAAACTGTAGTTGTGTTGAACCAAAACTGCAGTGTATACAAAATGAAACTGAAGAACATAGTTATTTTTTTTGCGGAACGGTGCGAAATGGATTCCGTTTCTTTTCATTAAATAAAACGTCATTTTGATGTGCGGTGCATAATTGATTATGCACCGCGATACTCGATATAATTTGTCAGAGTACACAATAATGAAAAGCATTCCTGTGCAATCTCGAGTTTTCAAGAATTTTGACATTACCAAATATAGGAATTCGACTTATTAGGGTTTTTTTTTTCTTTTTTTTTTTTAATACTGAATTCGACTTATTAGTAATATGTAATTTTGTGTGAAGTATTATAATTTTTCAATTTAGTGCGATTTATTTCTCATGTATAATTTGTGAACTATTATATAGAAGCGGATGAAATTTACTCGATGTACACAATTAAAAAGTGACTATAAGTTTCCCTACTCACCCAAACATATTGCAAATAATATGAAATTTAGTTCAACTATCATATTCTTTAAGAAACCGGGCATGATTCCCAAATATAATAATTCGATTTGAAGGTTATCAATAATCTTGTGTGCGTCAAAAATATTCATGGAGAAATTAGGGTGTGTTTGGTTGGTGGGTTTTGCACATAGGAATGGGTATGAAAGTGATTGTTGTTGTTTGGTTGATAGATTTTTAGAACACTACTATGGGTTTCGAATACCCCATTAATTGAAAAACTCATACCCAAATACAATAAGGGTTTCATTCCTTTATTCATTCTCAAGCACTACTATTAGTAATCATTCTCATTCCACCATACTACCAAACATGTTAAATACTTTCACCAAAACCCATTACCATTACCAAGTATTTGATACCCATTCTGATTCCAATTCCTATGTGCGAACCAAACACACCCTTAATGTGCAGATTAGTTACCAATTAAATGTTGACGGTGAGCAGTCTAGCCCACGTATTCAACCCCTCAAATGCTTTTTGCGGCAACATTAGTGTGGTATGGCCACGTTTTGTGTAACTAAACATATTAAATTTAGTAGAAATAACATCTTTTTTAGCATTCAAAAAAAAAAACATCTTTTTTAAAGACCATCTCCAACCACCACGATAAAATGTTAAAATGGTATAATTTTTTTACACATAATTTCTCCAAGGAATACAATATTACGGTAAAATTTTGGCGTTTCATGAATAGTGCAACGTCGTATATGGCGCTGCACTATTCATAAAACGCCATTTTTGGTGCAACAATTTATTTCCTATTTTGTCCCTGTTTTGTTCTTGATTTTTTTAATAATTTTTTTTTGTATTTTTTTTATATTTATATATTTTATTTAGTATTTAAACATAAATTGTATATTATTAAAAATAAATCATATCATTTGAAAGATCTTATTAAGACATTTAAAACAAGAATTAAATTATGTAAACATAATTAATGTTGTAATTTATTAAAATAATAAAATTATAAATATAAACTTTTAATTTATGATAATATAAATCATTTTAGTGAACGAATAAAATTTGGTGTAGAATTTGATGTAAATGGGTTGGAGATGAAAAAAAATTTAGTGGCAAAATATGCTGGGAATATTCCTTTGATATAAAATTTAGAGTTAATTCCATTTTTGGTCCTAGATTTATAAGTGACAGTCCAATTTTATTTCTTTTTTATCAGGGCATCCACATTTGGTCCTAGTATTATTGTGGCTTGACCATTTTTGGTCATCCTTCAACAAAATCGTTGAAATATCATTAAATACAAAGGCATTTCGATCATTTTTATACAAAGTGAGTTGACCCCATTATAAGTTTATGTTTATTTTTTGAAAAAATTTGTAATTAAAGGTCGAAATGCATTTTTATTTAACGACATTTCAACGATTTTGTTAACGGAGGACCAAAAATGGTCATGCCACAATAATACTATGACCAAATGTGGATGTTTTGATAAAAAAAGAATTAAAAGTGATTTGCCACTTATATATCTTAGACCAAAAATGGAATTAAATCTAAAATTTAGTACAAAAGTTAGTGTTTTGAGTTGGTGATAGGCTAAGAAGCTGGCCTGATTCCAAGCACCAACCAGTCACGAGCATGAATACTAAGACTTCACATGATTCTTTTTTTGTTGGATAGATAAGCGGTAACGATAATCTGGGCTCATGTTATTACCTTAAATGTGTCCAATGAAGTGTGATGCTGTCCAGCTGCTTGCAGACTCACCCATTTAATATATTCATAAATAATACCAACAATCATAGTAAGTGAATGATCAATTGTCAACAATATTATATCAGGCATTTTGTACAACATAATAAGAAAATATGATGATTATCGCAACTCCAGCCAAATTAGTCCAACAGTTAACTCGATAATTAATCACAATGTTTCAAATTCAACTTTTTATGGGAGCGGTACGTCTTTTGACTTAGTTTGAACCAGTTAGCTATGCACACATAAGTTAATTTACCTCTTTGTGGTCCTTTGTCAACTAGGTCCCAAGGCAGTCCATTGCCAATTAGGGCCACAAGACGGTCCTTTGTTAGCTAATAAGGTCAAAAGGCAGTTCTTTGTCGACTAGGGTTACAAGGCGGACTTTATCCTGCAGTGTAATTTTTTCGTAAATCGAAGAAAATAAGATGATTCATGTCAACTTAGTAGTCACCATATCCTTTACTCCCCATTGGCTTACTTACACTAGATTTAAAAATCTCTATAAAATAATCAGAAAACATGTTTACACGCCTAAGTTTATGAGTAGTATGATGGAGACATGGACAGTAATATCATGTGCAGCCATAATATACATTACAAGTTGTTGGGTTGCTTGCTTGGACTGAAGGCAGGTGCCATTCCTCCATGGCCTTGCTTTTAAGTTTCTGAATTCTGACTGCCTTTTGTCCACTTTATACTTAGGTTGTTTCTTATGATGTCTGGTAGAATACTAGAATGTTTCTGCATCAGCAAGAATTGTTTTATTGGTTGCAGAAAAGAGAACTTTTTTAGTAGAAAGATGGGAATGTTTTAGTGTAGATCAGAATGGTCTTTCTTGTCTTTCATTCAATTCCCAGATTCCCATTGCTATGAAGATCAAGAAAAGATCAAATCTTTACCCCACAGTGCTGATCAATCTGTTCGTCGTTCTCATTTCTCTTCCCAGGCCTGCCATTGGCTATGGCGCTGCCTCCACCATTGCAGTCAGCTATGCTGCAAACTCAACAGCAGTTGTGTGTGGCATTTCTGCGGGCGAGGTTAAACAGGGCATTCAATGCTACAAGAATGGCCAGATTTTTCGCGTTGAGCCTTATATCTCCTATGAGTCTATATCAGGGGGTCTTGGCTTCTTCTGTGGCCTAAATTCAGGCGGTTCGGTCCTTCTGTGTTGGGAAACGAACGCGTTTCTAGCCAAGAGGCTTTACTATAGCCGGGAAAAACGTTTAAGGGGACTAACTGTGGGGAATTCCCATGTCTGTGCTATTGAGGAGCCTACCGGTTTAGCATCGTGCTGGAGGTTTAAGAAGTCCGGGGTTGAGCAGAAGTTCGAGACGATCACTTCGGGTGGAGGGTTTTCGTGTGGGATTGTGAAGAGCAACGGCAGTGTGTTGTGCTGGGGAACGAGCGGAATTGCAGGTGAGCTCCAAAGGCAATTTGGCAATGCCAAAATGGAAAGCTTAGCAGCTGGTGAGTTTCATGCCTGTGGAATGGCTAAAAATGGAAGTTTGGTCTGTAAAGGGAGAAATGGCGGAGACGTTCCTTTTCGTTCTGCTTTCGTGTTTGCAGATCTCGCGTTGGGTGCCAATCACAGCTGCGGGATTCTCAGGAACAATGGCTCGGTTTTGTGCTGGGGAGGGGGCTCAGAAAGGCTTCGGTTTCTGGACAGTGCAGTGAAGAATGTTTCTTTCGAGTCCATAGTTTCTGGCCTGGATTTTGCTTGTGGATTGACAACCAAAAACCTTTCTGTGATTTGCTGGGGGCCTGGTTGGCCTAAAGGGAATGTTGTTCCCTTGCCAACAATCATCCCTGGACCGTGCACCCAAGCCTCGACGTGTTCTTGTGGCATATACCCTAATTCGGATACCATCTGTGCTGGTTCTGGAAATATATGCAAATCCTGTGATGTTCTTGAGCTTCCATTTCCAACACTTTTGCCACCTCTCCCACATTCAGCCCCGAAACCACGTCTGCATCCAGTTTCTTCGTCTTCGAAAGCTCAGATTAGGCGTTTTTGGGGGTTTGTCATATTCGGATCACTGGGAGCTTTTGCAGGACTATGTGCTTTAGCCTACTGCACATGGAGGGGGTTTTCCAGCACAATGGAGAGCTCTAGGCAAGCCGGGGGGACGGTTGAGAATGCGAGTTCTTCCATGAATGAATCGTCGGGCTTAAAGCATGTTGAGATAGCAGAGAAGATGAGATTCTCGGTGTCAGAGCTAGCTGCAGCCACCGGCAACTTTGCCATGGAAAACAAGATTGGCAGTGGGAGCTTTGGCACGGTTTACAAAGGGAGGCTCGGGAATGGCTGCGAAGTAGCCATCAAAAGGGGGGAGATTGTTTCGAGGAAGAAGAAGTTCCGGGAGAAAGAAAACGCGTTTCGCTCAGAAATCATGCTGTTATCGCGCCTTCACCACAGGCATTTGGTGGAGCTCGTCGGGTTCTGCCACGAAGACGAGGAGAGGCTTCTGGTTTACGAGTTCATGAGCAATGGCTCCCTGTACGATCATCTGCACAACAAGGCAAATCTCGAGAAGGGTAGCGAAAAGTTGAATTCTTGGAAAACTAGAATCAAACTCGCGCTGGATGCTGCTAGGGGAATCGAGTATCTGCACAACTACGCAGTCCCGCCCATAATCCACCGAGACATCAAGTCCTCAAACATACTTCTCGACGAGAACATGACAGCAAAAGTATCAGATTTCGGTCTCTCACTCATCACTGCAGACTCAGAGGACTCCATGTCGTCTGGAAAGGCAGTTGGAACCGTCGGATACATAGACCCCGAGTACTATGTCCTCAACATCTTAACATCAAAGAGCGACGTTTATGGCCTAGGAGTCGTGTTACTAGAGCTCCTATCCGGGAAGAAAGCAGTGTTCAGAGACGAAGAATCAGGCCCTACGGGCATCGTTGAGCACTTAAGGCCTATGATATCAGCCGGGGAAATCTCGACCATATTGGACCAAAGGGTAGGATTGCCAAAAGAAAACGAGGTCGAGTCAGTCGAGCTATTGGCTTACACTGCCATGCACTGTGTGAGCTTAGAGGGTAGAGACAGACCATCCATAAGTGACATTGTGGCTAACTTGGAGAAAGCACTATTTCTTTGCCAGTAACATATCATCAGACAAGATTTAAGGTTGTTGTTGACTTGTTGGTGCATGTGACCAAAATCTTTCTTTTTTTTTTTTTTTTTCTTGTGAAAAACTAAGATTCAAGTAGCATTAAATAATCATGGGACAACAATCAAGATAACATATAGTATATCAAATAAACTCGAAACCCATAAGGAGTTTGACAGATTTGTACTTGTCACCTCTATGATCATACAATGGAACAGATCTAAACCCGGTTTTGAGCTCCGATACTGGCAGGCATGTCTGACCTCCAAATTCATTCTCTCCTGTTGGGTCATAATCTTTAACCTCAACCCGAAGCAGTGCCAGTTCAGGCACACGTAGCGGGAACTCAAACTCATCCCCATTCCACGATGGAATCCATTGATCTTCTACCACCTGAGTTCTCTCCGATTTCGTATGATCAGAAGCCACTCCTACAATGCTAATCTGCACAACAGAACCGAGATTTTCTTTCAAGTTTTTGCATTAACAAATAACAATAGTTTTGATATAGATTAGCTTACCTTGACATAGAAGTCGGGGGGTGAAAGATAATCGAAATGTCTAAAGTGGAAGTCTTGACGCCACCCCTCTCCCATATATATGTTAACCTTCAAAGTCGTTTTTATTGGCAAGGCCAAGGGATCGAAAACTTCATCATAGTATCCATCGCCTAACAGAAAACTCGGTTTTTTCACATACCCACAGCAGCCATTAGCCCTGAACATCCCTTGCATAATCCACAGATACTTTGCATATCCCTATTTGAAAGATGGGGAGCTGTGGGGTTAGAATCTTGATCCAGACTAATGTATGGTCACTCAACTGGGCTATAATGCATATGAGCCAAACCACACTAAAAGATTGAATCCAACCAATTAGCTAGTCTAACCTATGGCCTTATAAACCCATATGTTCTCTCTTATTTTATCAATGTGAGACTCTTAACAAGGGTGTTTTGTTATTTTTATGAATTGAAGAGCAGATTGCAAACCTCCGACCTGCATGTTAAACGCAACCATCTGAGCTCCGTGCATCCATCCAACGAAAGGATTATAGTTCGAGGAGGTAATGCGCGTGCCCTTGGGAAACACTCTCAGCAAGTTGCGTTGTGTGAACCTGAAGTGCAGACAGATCAAGCAAACATTGTTGAGCAGATACCTTAAACGACATGAATAATTAATGTAGGGAATAGATGGTTACTGGATAAGTTCCTTCCCGTGTTTCTTGGCAGCAAGTTCGAGTGTTTCTTCACTCATGCTGAGACGAGTAACTTTGCCATCGTGGCTGGGCAAATTTCTGATACTGCCCTTCAGCTTACCAGCATGGATTGCAATCAAACTTTTGTATTCGGAAATCTCAGTCGCCCCATCTTCATCGTCATCAACACCTTCCTCCTCTGAATCTGCTTGCGAATGCTGCTGAGCCTGCAAGAGAGAGTATGTATGGTCAAGTATCCGGGAGGGAAAAATCTGGTTATGAATGAGAGATGTGAAAAAGACCCCATGGCTGAATGGAACTTCATCTTTAGAAGGTCTGGGATATCGTTCATTTGCTCTCCCGTGTACTTCTGCATATTCCTTTGGAGGCTTCGTCGAAATCATAATTCTCTCCTTGAGAGATTCTGGCGAAGGAAACTCATACATCTCTGATCCCGGGCAAAACAGCATCTCTCCAAAAGTTCTTTTCACCATCTGCATCCACCACGCCACCACTGCTTATTTTAAACATGAAATGAAATGTTCTAATGCTCTCCACTCACCCCGTTTGATCTAAAAAGTTTTAATTACCCCTGCAACTTTAGCTTGAAGATCGGGAGTAAGGTGATCTTCAAACGTTATTATAAGAGGATATTTCGAAGCAACAAATGCATTGCTCTTGATGGCCTTCAAACACTTGATTAGTTTAACCGGAGATGTCAAGGTCCTGCAGTTTACAGAAGAAAAAAAAAAAAAAAAATCACTTTTGGAACAAGTCTCCCTCGGTTAAACATGAAGTCTTGGATTTACACAAAATATTTTTACCCGCCATGACAGACATCAACATCGTCCCTTCTTGAATTTGGCCATAGGTCCAATTCAATCACTCTAACGCCTTTCTGCAGTGCCTTTACTATTGGGACGACGCTGCTTTTACTGCTGAGTTGATTTCCAGTAAGATACGAGTTATGTCCAGTGAATATATAGTAATGAGCCAAGGGAGCAGTCATGTCATGGTGAACCTGCAAACAAGAAGAAACCAAAAAGTGAAATATAACAGAACCACGATTCCAGATAGTCCTTAGAACAGACACAAGAATTTTCACCTCGGTATTAAGGGCAGTGTTAAGATCACTGAGGAGATAGTGAAAAAACTCCTCGACGACCAAGCCCTTAGGTTGGATAAGGTTGAGACGCTTGACGCTAGAAATGATTTCGTGGGCTGTCTCCCTCGTTGCATAGGCCTCCTTCTGAAACTCCCTCAAGAATCTGACCAAATTCTCGATGCTCATGATGTCATCCTCAGAGTATTCTGCAAAAACGTGGCTAACGTGCTCTGGTACTTCTGCTGGCCTCTGTGTGAACCCGAGCAAGCAGCAGCATAACCTGAAATGTTGACGGGACATCTTTACACAAACCCGCCTGGTTAGCTTGTATGCAGACAGAAATGCGCCCGCTATGCTTCTTATTCCTGACAGGAATTGCTTAGGAGTGTCAAACTCGTTTCTGGGAAAGTACGCTATTGCAATGTTCTATACTTGATCCCAGAAAGAAGAAAAGTTTAAATCTTCCCAGAAGCAAAGAGATTGCTTGTGCTGTCTTTACTTTAATAAAGCAGGAGAATAAGGTGCTCACTTTAATATGGAAAAACATTCTTGAACTACTGAATATTATAGTAAAAGCAAAGATTCACAAATTCATATATTCCTTTGTTTCTTGAAAACCTGTACACAAGCAGCACTCATAAATATCATTATGCCATGGAAAATCACAAGATTCTGTTCTGAACCAAAAGAAAAAACACAAAAACACGCCTCTTGATCCTAAGACAACACACAATTCAAAACATGGTCTAATGAAATTGTTGCGTGAAATATGGATGAAAAGAAACAGTACATTAAACAAACTCGAAGCGCATCAGAAGCCTCACTGAATTGTACTTCTCTCCTTTGCGATCACAGAGGGGAACAGCTCGAATGCCCGGTCTCAACTCTGCAACAGGTAAACACGTTTGGCCTGCAAAATCGTCCTTCTCAGACAAATCATGCTCGTGCACTTCAATTCGCAGCAAGGCTAGCTCGGGGACAGTCAATGGGAACATAAACTCTTCTCCCCAAACCGGTGTCCAGTTATCTTCTTTTATCTTCGTCTTCTTCATCACCTCATCAGCAGGCACTCCAGCAATCCCAACCTGTCATGCCAGTGAAGAGTATGAACGAACAAACCAATTTTATTTATAATACGATGCAGAAGCTAAATCATTTCCCACGTTCTAAGAAACTATTTATTTCGAGAGATTAGAGAAGTAAGGGGCATTTATACTAGTCACTGAATTTCCAAGCAAGAAAATAGCAATAAATCATAAGTTAACCACCTTACCCTTGTGTAAAAGTCAGGTGGGGAATATGAATCAAAGTGAGTTTGCTTAAAGTCTAAATGCCATCCATCTCCCATGTATACTTTCACCTACAGCATACAAAAATGATTAGAATGGACAAACTTTTTTTTTTTGGTTTAATAAACGAAATAAACTGAACTTCATTTGTGGTTCTCACTTTTAAGGTTTTCTTCACATGCAACCTCGTTTTAGGATTGAAGACCTCACAATTTGGACCGACATTCATTAATAAATCAGGCTTTTTAACATAACCACACCCTCCATTTGATCTGAACATCCCTTGCATCAGCCATAGAGATCTGCCATATCCCTGCCATTCCACAAGTAATACATTATCCTTTGAATATTAGCATTAAATTAAATTTTGTACTCTCGTATCAGATACAAACCTGCATGTTAAATGCAACCATCTGAGCGCCATGCATCCAACCAATTAGTGGCTTATAGTTTGAGGAGTTAAATCGAGTACCCTTAGGATAAACCCTGAGGATATTTCTCTGCGTGAAACTATTGAGAAATGACCATCCATTAGAGCAAAGTGCATACAATAACGAGAAACTCAATTCAAGACGATTGGGAAAAAAAAAAAAAGTCCCGAGTCTATTGAACTGTATACGAGCTATACCTGACAACATCTGTCCCATTAGTATCGGTGGCCTTTTCAAGAGCTTGTTCACTTAGACTGAGGCGTCTAACTTTATCAGGATCAACTTTCAGGGCCTCCTTCAGCCCACCTTTGGGTTTCCCAGCATGGATAGCAATTAAGTTTTTGTATGCAGGTGGTTCGCGTGCTTTCTCATCATCATCAGAATCGTGATTGTTTTCTCTTGGATCGCCATCATGCTAGAAGGAAACCGAAACCTCAGTATATATACAACCATCCCTAGGCAGTATATGGAAAGAAGCAATGTCAAATAGTTCACCTTGCTGTCTTCTTTATCAGCTGTCATGGTTGAAGGCTCGTCGCCCCAAACATCATCATCATCAGCAGCAGCATCCTTTCTGCTTTCAGTGCTCTGTACACTATTTTGGCTTCCTAAACTATTTTGTTTTTCTTTAAAAGACTGAGTTTCAAGGTATTCTTTTGGAGGTTTAGTCGAGACAACAATACGATGCTTTAATTGTTCTGGTGAAGGTAACTCCTTTAAACATTCTGTTTCAGGAATAAGAAGCATATCTCCAAATGTCTCGATGAGCATCTAATGAAAAAAAAAAAAAAAAAAGCCAAGTAGGCATTACGAAGATAACTCAATCAGTAAAGAAGTACAGTTAACTATTAACTTATTAAGTAGCAACTAACCTGAGCTACTTTAGCCTGAAGATCAGGCGTAAGGTGATCTTCCAGTGTTATTACAACAGGGTATGGAGAGGCAACAAAGGCGTGCTCTTTTATCGACTTGAGACATCTTATAAGTTCCACGGGAGCTGTCACTGTCCTGAATGTCAAAAATGCTAATTTAGATGCTATATGGGAAACTATGAAGAAAACAACAGTAATATACCATATTCTACTTATCTCATATCATTCAAACAGTTCATATATAGTTGCCATATATTTTTGGCCTCAAAATCCAGTAGCTCACATCTTAAACCATTTACATTTAGACTTCTTTTAATGTTGAAAATAATAGGGTAACCTGAAACCTCCTGCTTCATTTCTTGATTTAGAGTTTCAAAGAAACATAGTCAGAACTCAGAAGAAGCATTGACATTTGCTAACCTTCCATGAAGAACATTCACATCATCTTTTGCAGAGTTTGGCCATATGTCCAGCTCTATAACCCTCACACCTCTTTGCAATGCCTTAATTATTGGGACATCACTGCAATCACTTGTCAGCTGATTCCCAGTCAAGTAAGAATTGTGGCCTGTGAATATAAAATAATGGGATAGTGGAGCATTCATATCATGGTGAACCTGTGAAAAGATAACATCATCAAACCATAATTACACCAAATATGCTTCACAACAACACTCATACTCAAGAACAGAAACAGAAACAGAAAACAATAATTGCTCAGATAACAAAACTAGAAACGCAAAGATTTAAAAGAAATTAATATCCTAACTTTATTTGATCAGAAACAGAAAATCCCTTTGTTTTTAGATTTAAAATAGTGGTACAGAATCTGACAAAAGCTATGAAAATGATCACAGAATTTGAAAAAAAGTTTGCAGCTTTATGCACTACCAAAGTCTACGGAAAGTCAACGCAAGAGAACACGAAGTACCTTGGAAACCATGGGGGGATTGAGGTCAGGGGAGAAGAGGAAATGGTGGAAATCGTCGAGAGTGAGAGCATGGCGAGCGAACTTGGAAATGGGGTGTCGCTTCTGCAGGATTTGCAGCACGACGGCCTCGGCGGCGTCGGCGGTGGCGTCCACTTCCCCCTGCACCTCCACCAAGAACCGCCGCAACTGCTCAGACGTCAAGTGGGTCCCTCCCTCCGCGTATTTCTTGAAAGCCTCCTTCACGTCCGCCGCCGGCTCCGCCTCCGTCACCCTGAACTTCCGGGTGAAACAAACGCAGACTCTGTAACTCCCCATTCCGGCAAACTCTGTCACCTCTTTTCGCCGCGTAGATTTGCTTAGTTTTCTTCTCCCTTTAATCTGGAAAAAAAGAAAAAAAAAATTGTTCCTTTATAATGTAGGTGGCCTATACCATATGATTATCCGTCTTTGACCGGAACCAGGCCGCACACTCATTCCATTTCACGCATGCTGCGTTTCGATGGATCCACAGTGACAGTAATGAACTAATGAATATGAAAACGAAAATAAAGAATTTTAAATTTGTGATATATATAATATAAGATGTTAATAGCTCCGATACAATTAGTTATTTATGTGATTGTCTTAATTATCTGTCAAGTCTGATATAATAAGTACACGAGTTTAATTATTGTCAAAAAATTTTGATCAAATTTGTCACATACAATCCTTTTAATACAATTTACATCTCTTAGTTTGCATGCTATAGTAGCGCTAATGCAACAAATAAGGATTATATAGCTGATAATGATGGTTATATATATATGGTTTAACTACCTTTATTACACTATTAATTATTTATTTATGAGGAATTATTGTTCACCAATCTATTGCCAAAGTTTTTTATTAAAAGATTATATTTATTGGTAGGGGTTAAAATTAATCAATCACTTTTTTACTCTAAATTTAGTTTTAATTGTAAATATTACAAATAATAGACTACATTTGTAAATAAATTTTAAAATAATCATAATAATGACACGGTCTTTTTAACCTTTTTTTTTAACATTCTGTTTACGTATTTTCTTCTTTATTGTAGTTAGCATTCGAAGTCGTGATTGTTTGATACGAGAACGTATTAAAACTTACATTTAACGGGTTGGGAAACTAAAACTGTCAACATCATTAATTCGTGAGAAATTTAAAAGTCAATTATACCAATGTTAACAATTGAATGCTTCAAATTATGATTCTCTATAAATATAAGGACTAAATTGCAATTTTCTCAAATAATAATAGAAACTAATTAAGGATCACCTACCCCTGCGGCCATGCCGGTTGAGCTAGGTACATAAGTACATTATCCATTGATCAATCATGTGCCTGTTTTTTTTTTTTTTTTTTTTTTTAATCAATACAAGTAAAAGGTGAAAATATTATTAGGAAAATTCTATTCACACCACCTATTTAATAGGTATAATAATTTTATTGGTGGTGCAAATAAAAAAGTGATATTTGCACCACCATCATTAAATATGGTCAAAGATTAATATTTATTATCTATTTTTTTTAACAATCAAAATATTAATTATTAAAAAAAAAAAAAAAACGTCACCTTCTCCGGTGAGAAGGTAGCCCAGTGAGTCACCTTCTCACCGGAGAAGGCAACCCAAGTAGATTTTTTCACTTTTTTTTTTATTTAATGTTATGTAATTAAATTTTAAATTATAAATTTATTAATTATACCTCATAAATGAGGTTTGACCAAGGTGGTGCAAATAGCAAAATGAACCTCCATTTGGCTATTTACACCACTTATATAATTATTAAAGTTTCATATTTTCACAATTTCAA